TGAACACATTAATTTTTATCTGGATTATCAAACAAGTTTATTTAACCATGTATTACTGTGTCTTTGAAAGACTTTTGTCTTTCAAACACATTAAAATGCACAAGTTGTCATCTGATCCTTTTCACCTAATATATTTACTTGAAGTACACTTGAGATTTTAAAATAAATAATTTAATAATTAGGTATCACATCTGCATGTTCACAGTTCTCTGTCACTGGTTAATGGTCACATAACATGCAGGTAAACACATTTCTTTTTTTTGTGAGTGTGTTATTATGATTTATGTTATTTTAAGATTTTAGATTTTCATTTTAGATTTTTATGACTTATTGAATTAATTATCAGCTTTTCATTAAACTCACAAACCCCCTGCAGTTCCTTCCCGAGCCCAGTTTGGTAAACCTGACGTAATGTAATGTTTAATGCACTTCATTTTGTTAATTACAACGAATGGAATATATTTTCTTACTCTTTGTATTTTTATATCAAAATGATATCGTTGGTAAATCAATGTGTTAAACACATTTGGTCAAAAGAAATCTAAAAGTAGTCTGATTATATTTACTAAATTTATATACTGTATGACCATTTATTGTTACTTATTGTGCAATTCTAATAAATTCAGCTGCACATCTTATACTCAAATCAATATCCTTGCAACAGACAGACTGTAAAATAGACTTTGAAATGTTTATTTGGTGCTTTATAGTTAACTATTGATTGTTATCCACACAATTTACAGCATAGTTGCCGTTTGACTGTGTCTAATCTTGTATTGTAATGTCTTGTTAAGTTGTACAGGGATGAAATAATGGATTGGACCTGCAGTGTTCCTGTAAGCAGCCCAGGGCTTCAACCATCACGCTCCCGGCAGCACTTGACATGCTGGTCAGTATTAAACAACAACTGTCAGAATGCAGCATTTCACACTGTTAAACAAGGTAGTGTTGTCAAAAGTACTGACCTCGATACCATTTGGTACTGACATTCTAAAAACATCCATCTCCAAGATTTGAGTGCTGTTGAGCAGATTCAGCACGGATTGGTCATTGTGTTCTTGCGCTCAACAGATATGACTGTAATTGTCTTCAATGATCATCGCTTCAGTGATCACGCTCTTCACCAAGTGCTCACACAGAAGCACATGGGAGCATTTGAAAACCGCGACTATCAGCAGATCCGTCTATGTGCAGATAAATTAGGGATTCGCTGAAGGTGATGGTACTTTGCATGCACATAGTTTATTTCACGTTTGGATGTGAAATGATACTACAGCGCGCCAGCGCCTTTGTGAGTGCAATTGAAGAGCACGAGCTGCGAGCACAGTACCGTTTACATGCTTGTTTGACTCACGCCTGATGCTGAAGTGAAGTTGGAGCGTGCATCTGAAACGTATGGAAGCCCGTTTCCTCCACTGTATAAAAAATAAAAAAAGGTTTTAACGACTTTTGTCACAATTCTGACTTTTTTTCTCAGAATTGTGAGATATACTACACTCGCAATGGGGAAGTCGTGGCCTAATGGTTAGAGAGTAGGACTCATAACCCAAGGTTGTGGGTTTGAGTCTCGTACCGGCAGGGATTGTAGGTGGAGGGAGTGAATGTACATAGCTCTCTCTCACATTCAATACCCCGACTGAGGTGCTCTTGAGGAAGGCACCGAACTCCCAACTGCTCCCCGGGCGCTGCAGCATAAATGGCTGTCCACTGCTCCGGGTGTGTGTTCACGGTGTGTGTGTGTGTGTTCACTGCTGTGTCTGTGCACTTTGGATGGGTTAAATGCAGAGCACTAATTCCGAGAATGGGTCACCATACTTGGCCACATGTCACGTCACTTCACTTTATACAATTTCCAGTTATAAAGTCAGAATTGCGAGATATAAATTAAATATAAATAACTTGCTTATCTCGCATTTCTGACTTTAAAACTTGAAATTGTGAGTTTATATCACACAATTCTGACTTTATATCTCACAATTGTGAGTTTATTTCTCAGAATTGCGAGTTTGCGAACGTCTTTACGACCACATCAAATGGTAGACGTTTCTATGGAAGCCCAGTTTCCGCCACTGAATAAAAAATTAAAAAGGTAATTGCGGGTCCATGCTTTGTATGGACCAACATAACAGTAATGCTTGAGGTTGAACTAAGCATGTAATTATGTGTATATATTTTTATGTATATGTATTAGTGCTGCCAATTTTAGCGCCTTAATGCAGGCGATTACATTTTTCAGTTTAACGCATTTAAAATATTTAACGCAATTAACGCAGGGGCGGAGCTAGGGTTGGCCACCCCACTCACAACTGCTGCTTCTGTCTCTTTTTTTCTTGACAAGAAGTGCATTTATTTAGTCGCAAAACGTCTTTACGACCACATCAAATGGTAGACGTTTCTATGGAAGCCCAGTTTCCGCCACTGAATAAAAAATTAAAAAGGTAATTGCGACTTTATATCTCACAATTCTGAGATATAAAAATAAAAATTATATATAAAAATTCTGATTTTTTTATTCAGTGGCGGAAATGGGCTTCCATAGAAACGTCTACCATTTGATGTGGTCGTAAAGACGTTCGGCGACTGAATAAATGCACTTCTTCACAGGAAAAAAAAAAGAGACCAACCCTAGCTCCGCCCCTGCATAAATTGCGTTAAATATTTTTAACGCGTTAAACAGAAAAAATTAATCGCCTGCGTTAACGCGCTAATTTGACAGCACTATAATATATATTGTATATTGTAATCTATATTATCTTTGTAATAAAAACAGGACCCCCCCTATCTGAGGGTTGTCCCCCCCTAAAAATATGATTAAAAACCATGCTGTATATTGTAAATTCAAATGTTTTATACTTTAATAATTTTGTAAGTAGTAAAACAACACAAACGGGGCAAAAATGCGTTCTAAGTTTAGGAACATTTTGAGTCTCCCCCTCCCTTGCTTCACAGTGCTTTGGTCCAAATGCCTGTTTTCCTCTTTTACATCACACATACACAAGTCTGGTGAGAGAGAACAAAGTCAATAGTTGTGGAACTCCAGTAAGTAAGGCTGTCAGGGCTATTGTATTCACTTAAACATCAGATGAAGTGATTATTTTCCCTTTAATACAGATGATGCCAATGTATTTTTCGATGAGTCGCTATGTTAGCAATAATAATGTTACCTGCTTTACGGAAAGGGTTGCCAGGTTTTCACAACAAAACCAGCCCAATTGCTACTCGAAACTAGCCCAAACTAACTGCATTTCGAGGGGGGTCCCCCGGTAAAAAAAAGGTTAAAATACACATTTTTGGGGTCGCTTCAACCTGTGGACATGAAAAACAACCCGCGGCAACAGTGATAAAGTAGCCCAATTGCAGACTTGGCAACACTGTGACGGATAGTAATGTCTACAAGGGACACCACCGCTGTTGCGGGCGCGGTGCAACCACAGCTTGAAGTTGTCTAATTTGGCACGGTCTCCCTGCTATTAGTAGTATATGGAGCTTATAATATGACAAAACTATTTGAATTTGTATTGTATAAATTAGAATTATTGACAAGTGCATTTATCAGAACTGAATATTATGTGGCATTTAACATAGTTTTAAATTATTAAATTTAATTTTTTTTTTACTTGGATATTGAACATTTGAAATTTAACACAACTGAATTTTTTATAGAGTTTTATAGACATGTATTTTCAAACAGCACATTTTTTTTGTTCTGAATTCTTTGACTGCAAATATCCAGTTTTTAAAAATAGAGCTTCAAGTTTTCAAGATGAAGAGGAAATTCGGAAAATCTAATTCAATATTCTAAAATTCAATACAAATTCAGATCGTACAGAAAGTAGGTCAGAGGTAATCCACAGGGACGAGCTCTAAAAAAAAAATCTATGTCAGAACTATGTTAAATGCCACATAATATTCAGTTTTGATAAATGCCACTTGTCAATAATTCAAATGTATGCAATACAAATTAAAATAATTTTGTCATATTATAAGTTCCATAGTAGTAAGGCTTTCCTCTGTGTATACATATTCTTTCAATTAAAATTTTAGCTGTATTATTTGTGTCCCCTTCAAAAATTGCTTTTATTGTCCCCCCCAACTGTTAGACGAAATTTACACCCCTGGCCGTATCAAGAGGTACTTTGTGCTTCAACAAAAGGCTGTGTTTATTTCTGTCGGATACTGTCCTGTTTTTTTGCATGGACCACAGTAAGAAAACATAAAGTGGAGCATTTAATGGCCTCCAGCTGTTTTTAGGATTGGACCTGCAGCGTTCGCATGTATAAATGCTGGTATTCTTTGATGATTCCCCGTATGAGTGGTTGCTAGGGTGTTCTGGATGGTTTCTAGGTGATTGCTTTGTGGTCCAAGTGAATAGAATCCACCCTCAAGTCTCTTTCATATTTTTTTCTTTAAATATAACTCATTCAGTGTACATCTATGGGATTTTTCACCTGTTAGGTCAAATTCATAACCATGATCATGTCTACTCAATATGCTGCATGATCAAGTCGTATTATCTCTACGTGAGTGTTTGCGGTGCCCTCTATGGTTTGCAGTAGGAATTGCTCTTGAAGATTAACATTATTTTGGTGGTTTATGACTACAGAACAGCTTGTTTGTGTGTTTGTATAAACCTGCTCGTATTAAGTCTCTCGGATGCATAGATCAAACATCTTCAGGGAATCTTTCTTTGTCTCGTCCCACACCATGTTTCCTCCAGCAGTACAGATTCATAAATGATGATTTGCGTGCACCATCACACACCCTCATAGATCAGAGCGGAGTTTGACATTAAAAACATACATGATCTCAAGACGTTAATCAATAAAAGCCATTGAAACACGCTTTAGTCATCGTGCTGAAGTTCTGCTGTCAGTCGGTTAAATGTGGAGGCCAAAAGAGGAAGAGGAAGAGGAAGAAGCAGACAGTCAGACAGGAGGAGGAGCGCTTATTTCTCTGGTTATTTCTCACACCCTCACCCAAAAAGCAGTCAGTGAAGGGCATAAGAAAGGAACTGAGATACTCTGAAAGAGAAAATACAGACAGAGAGAGCCATAGGGGAGAGCGTTTTAAAGTCCAACCAATGGCTCCTTGGACAAAAACTATCTCTGAAAGATATGGAGTTGGTGAGTTTTGCTGTTTTTTTGTGTGTGTGCGCAAGTGATTCACCTGTGCATTTTGAACGTTCTCTGCGAAGTTGTGTGTGCGTTTGTGTGTTTGTATCCCTAGCGGCCTTCGCACCGGGCGTATAAAGTTGTTTGATTCAGTTCCTATATCTCAGGATGTGGGCAGAGACAGATCAGTCAAGCGGCCCAACAGTCACTGGACTAAACAGATTGCGGAATTTTGTCATTTTACAATTGTTTTGGTTTGAAAATCTGCAAATTTAGTTTTATGACACTATGACAGTGCAGTTAATGCAATACTGATATAGTGCAACAACAAACTGAGACCTGAACCCTATGACAGTTGCTTCAGTTGCATTAAATATCATTTAATGCAACTGAAGCAAACTGAAATAACTTCATAAGGGAACTTCTGCACATTTTCACTTTTTACAGCGCAGAGGATTCTCTTCTTTAACCTGTTTGCTGAATGAAGGTGCTTTAAGGTTTGGCATCATTTAATAACGGAAGAGCAGGATTGAATTTTTAGAGAAGACCTGCGTGAAATAAATGCACAAGCAAGATCTTTATCATCTTGAATGTTTCTTTTAGACAGTAGTGAGAAGTCAGATGTTTCTGCCGAGAAAAGAGACCAGGAATCTCCTCTAGAGCTCTAAATGAGCTCATATTTGCTCAGGATACCAAAGTTAGCAAGCAAAAGTCAGAGATCTCCATATGAACTCAATATTTCTCATCAAATGATCTGAGCTGCTATTCACAATCATTTTATAGCTCTGTACTCTTACTGAAAACTATGACTCATTTATGTCAGGTTTATTATAGTTAACTAAAACATAAAATAAACATTAACTGAAATATAACATTAAAATCTTAAGCTTATTTTATTTAGTTAGCAACATTTCTCATTTTCTTTTAGTTTGTGTACAAAAACAAAACAACAACAAAACAAAAACTGAAATAAAAATGAATATAAACTAAAACCATAATAAACATTTCTGGTACTTGAAATAAAATAAACATTAACTGAAAAAAAAAACTTAAAAACAACTTAAACTTGTTTTATTTCAGTTACAAAGCAACACTCTTTTGAAGTTGATGATTGTTAATAAAAACTATATAGATATGTTGAAAACAAAAAATAAAATAAAGACAGAAAATATTAAAATAAAAACTAATTCAAAATACTTAAATCTATAATAGTTTCTCAGTGATACTAAAATAACACTCGTTTGCGTTATTTTAGGAATAAGGGAAACATCTGAGACCAAGTTGATCCTTAAATTAAATACATGTGAAAACTAGTTAGTTTTTCAGCCATGACCAAATAAAAACCTTTGAGAAGAAATATTTAATGCAAATCCCGTTGAAATCTCGTTTAATCAACAGAAGCTAAAAGTCTAGCTCATATGTAAAGTGTTCATTAAGAGCAGTATGAGCGTGAAATGGTGAAACTGATTAGAGTAACTTTATTTAGAGTTATTTGTCAATGTAGTATTCACAGAATTGGGGTTATTTTGTATATTCAGTTTTGAAATGAATGCAAAAGTGGTTTGACTTCTGATTGTAGGCGGCGTATTCAGCAGGTTTGTAGCTCACAGCATGTATGTTGAAAGAAATAAAGCATATATAATATATGCACATGCTAAAACGTATTATGAACTTGAAATAAAATCATGCAAATGCATGTATATTGCTTTTGAATTATTTCAATTGTAAACATGCTGATGGTGGTATCTGTGTGTGCGGTGTTGCACAGGAAGTTGCTCTGAGAGGAAGTAGGCCAACGAACTCGTACTTGCAGAAATGAATTGTGTGTGTGTGCGCGCACGCGTGCGTGTATATAATATGATGTTCTCCATCTCTGCATAATATGCAGTTTAACTTTTAGAGTCATTGATGTTGGCTAAAGTATTCAAATCCAGCGTGTGCGTCGTCCTGCAGCGTTTGTGCTCTAGACATGAATCACAGGACTCTTTTCAAGTAGTTGAGGATAGATATCGTTTGATATCTTCTTGGAAGCATTAAATTATCTCATTCTGCTGTTTTGCTAAACATCACTTAAAAATTTAATCCAAACTGTGACTTGGGAAATCTTTTTGTGCATTTTTAAATGCATTGGTTGAATTTCATGCAATTTATATTTTCTCTCTTTTCTATAAAGTTAAGTGGAATTTCGTTGCCAAAGCGGAGAAGCAGTTGTCCCTGGTTATCGGGGACACTGTGCACATACAGGAGTCATGTGAAGGTGAGGGATTCTGGGATATTGCACTTACTTTTGCAATTATACTTGAGGTAAAGGCTTTTATATACAGCAATGTATGTTGCATTCAAAGTATACTTTCGATCAGTTCAATGCGGTCCCTGGGAATTAAACCTGTGACCTTGGTGCTGCTTGCGCCATGCATGTTCCACACTGAAAAAAAAAATATTTTCTTGCTCAGTATTCTGGTCTTGTTTTCCAGTGCAAATATCCAAACATTTTAAACCCCCCTGCTGTTCAAAAACTGGCTACAACTTCTGTTTTTGGGGTGAAATTGAGCTACGTACGTAGGTTTCACTGCAATTTTGCTGAAAATCGACACTATGAAAAACACTAAAGATTCATGTAAAAACAGAAAACACTGTATTGTACCTTGTCAGAGACTAAAAAAAATATAAGATATGTGAGAACTTTAATAATTCCCATCTTATTTTTTGTGTTAGGGGTCAATTTGATGATCCATTTACAATTTACTTTTTTTGTCATGACTACTTGTAATGTAGGTGCAAATAACTGCTAAATAACAAATAACTAAGTATAAATAGTATCTAATATTTTTGTATTTAGTGTAAATAGTATGTATTGCTATTTATACTTCCTCTGCCATTTTATGTAATCTAGTAACTGAGCTCCACAAAACTAACAACCAAAGACCACCTTTGACAGATTTTTTTGACTGTGAAACTCAGCTAGATAGAGCTAGAAGAAACAGTGATTTTTTAGATGGTTTAGAAGATGAGTCTTAGTTTTTTTGTCTTAATTTTCATATGTTCTCATGTATTTCATATTTTAGTGATTGACAAGCTACAATAAAGTTTTTATTATTTTATTTTATTTTTTTATTCTTTGGTGTTGGTTTCAAATTGCATACTTATGGGTTTTAATGGGGAGTCAATAGGACCTGAGCACAAAAGTTGTAATACAATTTTTACAGCCTTTCCAAAACACATATATGAGTCGAAATGTTGCATACATTCAAGACCCTAAATGAGAAATATAGAGCAGGTTGAAAAATCAAGTATGATCAAGTCTCAACACAACAAAAGGGTTAAATCAAGATATATTTACTTGAGAAGCAAAATTGTGACATTAACCCAGCAAACATAACCCACCTAACATTAGTAATTAGTTCCCGTTTGCTTGTTTTTTTGAGAATCAAATAATAACATTTTAGGGCCAGTTCAAAAAGCTTAATCTGGATCGGAATGATCTGCATTTGGAACTCCCGTATTTTGCTATCCAGGATCAGGTAATCCATATTACTTTTCTGCTGGTTTTTCAAAGCAAAATTGAATTGAATCACAAAGATCCAGATACACAATTTTTCAGATTACCAAATATGGATTACTAGTGCTCTATGGGGCGCCTACACTCTAAAAAATGCTGGGTTTTTTCAACCCAATGTTGGGTCAAATATGGACTAACCCAACTGTTGGGTTAAAAAGCTAATTTAAAAATGTAACCAAAATTTAACCCAACAGTTGGGTTGGTCCATATTTGACCCAACATTGGGTTGAAACAACCCAGCATTTTTTAGAGTGTAAAGGGACATGGTGATGGAAAAAAAAAAAAAAAAAGAGTTGGAAAAAAATGTCAATGCTTTTGCATTCTCTCAGAAAAGTTTTGCATTGCATTCACACAAGACACTTTGCATTCGCTCACAAATGACTATTAACTGGTTTATCTGATGTAGTAGTAGTAATGTAGTTTACAGACAGTGATATAAAAAAACACTTTTAATTTAATATAATCCACCCTTCTGCCGGTATGAGATTTTTTGAAACAAAAGTATCCCAATCTTACTAAAAAGTTAGATGATTCGATCCAGATCAAAACCAAGTTTTTCTTTTGAACAACCCATTTTAAAGATTTGATCCAATCCAATAGCAGAAATCTGATCAGATTACTTCTGAACAACTGGCCCTTACGAATGTTCCATTTAGGTTTTACTTTTGCAACCATAAAATAACGTTCCAAGAACGTTGCAGGGAGGTTATTTTTAAATAATAATTTTTAGGTTATTGTTTTGCAACCATGAAGTCTTCAGAGAATGAATTTATGCTTGAAACAGGAAAAATATCTGTCAGTGGGGTCTTAATTAAAAAACAATCTTGTTTCTGACCCCACTGACAGTTATTTCTTCTTGTTTTAAGCATAAACTCATAGAATTTTAATCACTTTCTTCAGAAAACAAGACTTGATATCTTAAAGTCATTTGTAAGTAAATGTATCTTGATTTAAGAATTTATTGATATTTGTACTGTAAAACAAGACAAAATCACTAAAAACAATAATTTTACATACTGTTTGAGCAACAGAAATATTTTCATAGTCTAAACCAGTCTGTTCTTGTTTCAGGATGGTATAAAGGTTACGTGATCAAGAACAAAGAGAGAAAAGTAAGTAAATGGGTGTTTAGTTTATGGTATTTCTACAAGAGCATAATGTTTTATTCCTGAATATCTGACCTGGAGTTCCTCTACTACGTGTTTGCTGATTTACTTTGTTCCATATTGAAGGGAGCATTTCCTGCAAGCTTTATAGTGTTAAAGGAAGTCATCGTCGAAAAGAGAGGGTGAGTATGTCCTTCTGTCCATCAGTCAGTCCATCCATCCGTCCATCCTCTGACCCTCTGTCTGTCTGCTCCTGTAGAGATGAGGAGATCATAACATCTGCTGAGATGCCGCTGGTGAAGGAGGTGACCACCACACTGAGAGAATGGGGCAGCATCTGGAAACAGCTCTATGTGGTGAGACGCTTAGATGTGAGTGGGATACTGTACTACACTTAACAATAAAGGTTCTTTATTAGGATCAGTGGTTCCGTGGAAAACCTTTAGCATCTATAGAATCGTTCCTTTCCACAAAAGGTCTTATAGATTTTTTAAAATGTTCTTTACACTGAGAAATAAATGGTTCTTTTATGAGCTGCTCACTGAAAGGTTCTTTGGGGAACCAAAAATGGATAAAACCTCCTTTTCGATCCTTTATTTTTAAGTGAGTGTAGTTAAGAGTGTACACTGAGTTAAGAGTGTAGTGATATTATATTTGTAGTATGCATACTGTGCTCAGTATGGGAGTTTTCTGTATTGCGTGACCTGACACAATGTGCAGTGTAAAGCACATTTGAAGCACTTTACAGTACGTGACATACTATGTCCACAAAGTGACCTTCCGTTCTCAGTGTGATATGAAGTGACAACAGCCATGACTTTTAAAGTCAAAATTAAATCAGAAGTAACAAAGTTTACTTCCTGGTCTATTTTTAGAAAACTTGCTGCAGTCCTAAAAATATAAATTAAGTGTAACAATACCAATAATAATAACTTATTAACAATAATAAATGTTAATTCATGTCCCAGACACAATTCATGCCCCAGTCACATTTTCATGGTTAAATAAACAATACCTATACACTATCAGAAAAAGAAAAAAAAATAAAGAATTAAAAAACAATTCTACTTTATATTTGTACATTAATAATGTAATCAATGTTCCATTTATTAAAGCCAAATATGAATCTCATCACTAAGGCAGTAACAATTTAAGCAATATATTTTATTTGTAAACTTATGTTCAGCTATTCTTTTTAATAGTTAACTGTTAATTAATTTTTCAGGTCATCAGTCATCAAAGCTCTGTAAATATTGCTCACAGACAAGGAGATTTACTTTGAATTTCACCGAGCTGATTACTCACTAAAAACTCCCACGGATCATGTTTTCATGCCATTTTAAGTCATATTTTGATGTAACAAAGTGGTTTTATCAAAGTGTGTGAGTTGTTTACTTTTTTAAATGAGTCTTCCCATTAATGCCATTATATTGTTCATACAGACTGATTCGCAAATGCGGAGCACACATGAACACAAGAGGCGGGAATTATGGACCAATCACAGCTGAACATAACCAGTCATATCATATTGCCTCCTCTCACGTGACTTTCCCCCATTCATTCTCAATTACACCCCACCAAACTCACGGCACGCTTTAGGGGGTCAGTTAAAATTCAATGGGCTCAGGGGAGGCGAGAGAGACGTGAACTCCTGCTGTAACTTTACCAGCTGGTGTTGCTGTTGGACAATGTTTCTTTAGAAAAACTGGAGGCACTGCCTCCCTTGCCTTCTTAGAGGAAACACCCCTGATATATATATATATATATATATATATATATATTAGATCCCTTATATATAAATATATCTTATATACAGGGTGCGATTTGCCGGGGGTGATTTCCCCTCCTCTGGTTTATGCATCCCTGCCTCTGCTGAATTATTTTTATCTCCGGTGGGGATAAAAACATCCCGCGATCTCGCTCCGAGGTCCCGATCTAACTCAAATTATTCGCAATACGCAATCCAATTGGATTGCTTACAAAATAATTTTGCGACTCAATGGTTTAACTGATTCAGAGTTTCAAAAAGCTCCATTGATACTGTTTTCTTTGCTCGCTTTCTCTGTATAATTTATTCATTGCTTGAATAACCGTGGAAATGAAATCATTACAATTAATAGGCCTAACTTACAATGTTTTAATAGTTTGTGATCACGTTAAATACAGTTCCCGTCTTATTAAAAACATTTCATAACATGCCACCCATTATATGGTACTTGCCTATAAAGACGGGTTTATGATGTGCGTTATTAATGGATTACACTAACATTAGGTTACTTAGGCTACAGCCTTACCCTTACCTTCCACCTATGGAAAGAGAAAAAAGTTTTCAAAAGCATCCCCCCTTCTGCTTTTTTCACAAATCGCACCCTGCTTATATAATTTAATATAAATCTTTTGTTTAGTTTTTTATGGTTTAGTATTACTTTATGTTCTGTAATATCTGTCATCAAATAATTTCATATATAATTTGTTATGTTGCAAAAAAGATATAACTTTCCTCTTTAGCTGACCTCAAAATGGAAAAAAAAGTAATACATCCAAATAAAAACTGCATTATGAAAGTAAATGGGCTGTGAATGCCTTTTCATTTGATCACTGACAAACGGTAAAATATTTTTAAAGGGGTCATATGGTGCTGCTAAAAAGAACATTATTTTGTGTATTTGTTGTAATGAAATGTGTTTACGTGGTTTAAGGTTCAAAAAACACATTATTTTCCACATTCTGTACATTATTGTTTCTCCTCTATGCCCCGCCTTTCTGAAACGCATCGCTTTTTACAAAGCTTATCGTTCTAAAAAAGCGAGGTGTGCTCTGATTGGCCAGCTATCCAGTGTGTTGTGATTGGCCGAATACCTCAAGCGTGTGACGGAAATGTTACGCCCCTACCATATTGTGATGATTCCCTGTCAGGCCAGAGCGATGTTTCAAAAACATGAAAACCTTTCTTCTTTATGCACCAAGAGCTTGTAACACTCCAAAGAGAAAGGAACAATTGAAATCGCATCATATGACCCCTTTAAACAAAATCAAATTACAAATTAAATTAAATAATTTAATGATATTATTAAAATATAATGTATTTATTTCACACATGATACCTGGACGTCATGTAGAATTATACAAACTGTGGTATGAAGTCATGTGATGATAACACATAATGCTGGATGTATCGAATAAGTCAAACATGCAAAATTATAAGTCCATTAAATTTGCACAACCTGAACTTCTGACCAATCAGTGATTGTCTTTGTTTCCATTAGTCCAGTAAGAAGGAGCGTTTCAGTCAGGTGCAGCGGCTCATGTGGGATCTGATGGAGTGGCGTTCACAGCTCCTGTCCGGGACGCTACCGAGTGACGAGTTTAAGGAGCTCAAACAGAAAGTCACCTCAAAGATTGACTATGGAAATAAGTACGTATTTCATGTGTCTATTCCACTTGTGTTCCTGTCTGTGTACATTTTTGACTATGGTAATATAAACTATGCATACATTCATATCCTATATCATAATATATGAATGTAATCATACAGTACTATGGTATTATCATCTGATACCATCATTGTACCATTGTACAAACACACAACTGATAAAGCATAGAATAATATGATCCAGTCGGCAGGTGTAATTCCTCTCCAGAGCTTAAGTAATTCGCTCTTCTTGGCTGTTGTTAATTGGTTAGTTAATTGGCATTTGTACATTATCATTAAGAAATTAATTAACAAACCTGAAGGGGATAAAAATGTCTTTCTGCCACCTGAATGTTAATGAATTAATGTGAGGGAAAAAAACTCCCAAACCACTTGTCATGGATTCACATTTATTGCTCTGTTTTCACATGATTACAAGTTAATCATTGTTTTCTCAAGATAATGTTATATATCCAATATTGGTGTCCTTAGTGCAAACAGCTGGGAAAGAAAATGTGCGTCAGTATATTGACTTTTTATTTTTTAATAGATAGACCTGTCTAACTTAAATCACTTTTGATTAAATTTTTGTTATTGTACAGTAGTTGTATTTTCTTGTGCTATTTCTTGTAATTAGTTTCTTTTTTCTTATTTTTTTTTACTGACTGTTTAATTGTATTAAGCTTGAAAACTTAAATTAGTTAGGCTAGCATTAATTTTTGCTGTTATATATACTTAATAATTAATTAATCAAGAATTGTGAAATTTCTAAAATTATCTAATATTTTTGAAATCATAACAACCTAATTTAAAGCAAAAATGACTTTAAGTGTGATCACACAAGCATAGTGACATTATACAAGCATTTGATACAAATACAAACATTTGAATATTTTGAGTATAATGTCAGGGTTTTGATTGTTAACTAAACACTAAAACATTTTGTTAATTGAAATAAAACTGAAATAATATACAGATGAAGTACATACAAGTGAAATATAGATGAAAAACTGAAATGTGTTTAAAATAAAGCACTAAAATTACTCACTGAAAATAAAACCAAACTATAATTAATCTAAGACTAGAATAAAACTATATAAGTAATATAAAAAAAAACAAATTAAAATGAAAAATAAAAAAATAAAAGGAAAGCCAATTAAATATTCAACAAAAAACTATGCTAAAATAACATAATAATGTGTAGCAATTCATTATACTGACAGATTACTTCTTGATCATGTGAAAACAGCAAAAAATATGTGTGAATCCGTGTTAGCTGTGGGCTTTTGCTGGGATGTTGCTTTCTGTGATGTGCAAGAATGAGCCTTAATGAAATGTAGGAAGTCACGCCTGAGGTGCATCATGGGACTCGCGCTTCTCCAGAAGAGCTCAGGGCAAGAGAACATCTGCCAGATCGTTTCAAGGATCTGTGTGTGTGCACTGAATTCTCAGGTGAATCATGTGTGTGTGCAAGTACAAACACTCAAACTGCAGTTAAATTACGTGTTATTCTGCCTCCAGGATCTTGGAGCTGGATGTGGTGGTGCGGGATGCCGATGGGAATATCTTGGACCCCGAGCGAGCGAGTGTTATCAGCCTCTTCCGAGCACACGAGGACGCTACAGCCAAGATCACAGAGCGCATTAAAGAGGAACAGGTTTTCATTTCATTTTCATTTAAAGGTTTGCAGATGAAACCACAAGGAGCTTCTCGCATGTTCAGGAATCAGAGAGAGAGTTTGTAGTTTTAATGAGACACTTTTAAATGTTCAGGATGACTGAACAAATGAAATCAATGAACTCCCATGGCTTTACCTTCCTTCGGTCTGGTTCTGCTGTGAATTCACACTAAATATCCTCCTGTAACCCCACTGCAGAAACTTAATGACCTTACCTGAGGTGGATCAAACTAAACTGAACTTCATTTAAATAATTAATTAGCCAGAACCCCCATCAAAACGGCATAATAATGCCATAGCAACCACCCAGACACCCTAGCAACCACTCAGCAAGTCCTTCACAATCACCCAAACACCCTAGCAACTGCATAATAATTCCCTAGCAACTACTTAGCAACACCTTTGCAACCACCAAGGCACCCTAGCAGCTGCATATTAATGTCCTAGCGACCACACAGACATCCTAGAAACCACTTAACAATGAATTTGTAACCACTCAGACACCCTACCAACTCCACAATATGCCTAGCAACCACTTAGCAACACCTTCACAATTAATTAGACACATAACAGCTGGATAATAGTGTCTTAGCAACCATCCAAAACATCCTAGTGACAACCAGGACACACTAGCAACTGCATTATTATTCCCTAGCAACCGCCTAGAAACCGTAGCAGCAATCACATAATAATGTTCTAGCAACCACCCAGAAATCCTAGCAACCACTGGGCAATGCCTTCACAACCACCCAGAAACCCTACCAACTGCATAATAATGTCTTAGCAACCATCCAGAACACCCTAGCAATCACCCAGACACTTTTGCAACCGCATAATTATGCCTTAGCAACCACCCAGACTCCCTACCAACTTCATAACATGCCCTAGCAACCACATAGCAACACATCCACAACTGCCCAGACACCCAACAGCTGCATAAGCCAGACCATCCTAGTGACTACCATGACACCCTAGCTACCGCATATTAATTCCCTAGCAACCACCCAGAAACCACTTGGCAACCATCCAGAAAACGCTAGCAATCACCCAGACTCCCTAGTAACTGCATAATATACCACAGCATCCACCCAGAAACTTTAGAAACCTCTTGGTAACACCTTGGCGACCCCTCAGAACACCTTAACAATTACCTACACTCCCCAGCAACAACCTAGCCATCATAGAAACCACTTGGCAACACCTTGGCAACCATCCAGAACACCCTAGCAATCACCCAGACTATCTAGCAACTGCATATTATACCACAACAACCACCCAGACACCTTAAAAAGCACTTGGCGACACCTTGACAACCATCCAGAACACCCTAGCAATCACCCAGACTCCCTAGCAACTGCATATTATACCACAGCAGCCACCCAGACACCTTAAAAACACTTGGCGACACCTTGACAACCATCCAGAACACCCTAGCAATCATCCAGACTCTCTAGCAACTGCATATTATACCAAAGCAACCACCCAGACACCTTATAAAACACTTGGCAACACCTTGACAACCATCCAGAAAACCTTAACAATTACCCACACTCCCCAGCAACCACCTAGACATCCTAGAAACCACTTGGCAACACCTTGACAACCATCCAGAACACCCTACCAATCACCCAGACTCTCTAGCAACTGCATATTATAACACAGCAACCACCCAGACACCTTGAAAACACTTAGCAACACCTTGACAACCATCCAGAACACCCTAGCAATCCTCCAGACTCTCTAGCAACTGCATATTATACCAAAGCAACCACCCAGACACCTTAAAAAACAATTGGCAACACCTTGACAACCATCCAGAACACCTTAACAATTACCCACACTCCCCAGCAACCACCTAGACATCCTAGAAACCACTTGGCAACACCTTGACAACCATCCAGAACATCCTAGCAATCACCCAGACTCCCTAACAACTGCATATTATTCCACAGCAACCACCCAGGCACCTTAGAAACCACTTGGCAACACTTTGACAACCATCCAGAACCCCTTAACAATTACCCGCACTCCTCAGCAACCACCTAGAGATCCTAGAAACCACTTGGCAACACCTTGGCAATCATTCAGAACACTTTAGCAATCACACAGACTCCCTAGCAACTGCATATTATACCACAGCAACCACCCAGACACCCTAGAAACCACTTGGCAACACTTTGGCACCTAGTAATATGTACCACCATAATGTACCACAGCAAACACTCAGAATAGCCTAGCAACTGCATAATAATGCAATAGGAACCACCCCGATTCCCTCTCAACCATTTAGCAATGCCTTAGCAACACATTAGCAACCCAGCAAGTGCTAAATGCAGACTCAAAACTCATCTGTTTAGCTGTGCATTTATTGAATGAGCACTGTGCAATGTCCGAACTGATTGCACTATATTATATGTATAATCGTTTTCTTAAATTCATTTTAAACCTCTTAAATCAATTTTTTTTTTTTTATAATTTTCAAAGTTTTTAAATTCCTTGTTTTATTGTTGTGATTATTGTTTTTATTTTATTTTATGTAAAGCCCTTTGAATTACCATTGTGTATGAAATGTGCTATACAAATAAACTTGCCTTGCCTTGCCTTGCCTAAATAAGACTCTAGTATGGTGGTTGTGAGTTTTTCACAGGTTAACACCAGTCAGGTTTATTTCTGTGAATTTAAACTCTGTTTAACATCAGCTCCTGTCTCTTCTGCTCTGCTCTGTGTAGTCCAACGTTCAGCTGGATCATTCTGGCGTATCCGCACGGATCCAGTCTTCTCCCACACACAGCTTGTATGTTTTTGTGCGTAACTTTGTGTGTCGTATCGGTGAGGATTCGGAGCTCTTCATGTCTCTGTACGACCCCATCAAGCAGACCAACATCAGGTGCGTCTCACTGACACACTCTTTAATGATCAGTCTAGAGGAGTTTGTCATTATTACACACACTCTGTCTCTGTCTCTCTGCAGTGAGAATTATTTGGTCCGATGGGGAGATAAAGGTTTGCCGAAGGACATTGAGATGCTCAACAGTCTGAAAGTGGTCTTTACAGTAAGTCACTTACAGATTTCACTTGGTAATTTCAGTGATAATGCATGGATGGGCTACAGCAATTCTAGTACTTTCATGGAGTGTAGCAGCAGTATCCATAGAAATTCAGATTGCGTTATTAGCAAATTATTAATAGCAGTATGCATAGCAAATCAAATTATGCTTTTAGTTACAGCAGCAGTAGGTTGCAACATAGTTGCTGAAGTTTCAGTGACTAAAAATGGATGGTATGTGAACTCTATAAGCAAATAGGCATCATTTGCGTTTTGTTTATTTAAAGGGGCTTATAGCAATTCTAAGTACCTTTGTGCAGCTGTAGCAGCAGTAAGCATAGGTATTCAGATCGCATGTAGCGAATTTAAAGGGGTCATAGGATGCTACATGCACTTTTACAAGTTGTTTGAATTGAAATGTGTGTTGGCAGTGTGTGTACACAACCACCCTATAATGATAAAAATCCACCCAGTGTTTTTTTTTTAATCTGGTTAAATGTTTTCCCCTTTCTCAAATCGAGCCAATCTCAGATGCCTGTCTGTGTGACGTCACACAGACAGGCCCCTCCCACGATAGTTTGATTGACAGTGGCGTTTCAGCACAGACTGGACTGGCGTCTTACCTTAGACCCGCCCTGAGTGAGCTGTCTTCAGTCCGCCATTGTTTCACCGCTGGAGCAGATGTAGACAAAAATGACTCCTAAGCGATTGAGGTGTTCTGTTGTTGGATGTAACAATTAACATAGCAGTCGTCATTTACTCCCGACATCTGAGCCGCTGAACTCGCAGTGGATTACATTGTTTCTGAAGGGAATGCTCCCCCGATCTGCCTAAATTGCCTATGTTCGCGCGAATCATTCATGATCATCATCTACAGAAGAAGTGAGTATAATGTTTTGTAATGAATCTTTGCAAATCGCCTTTCCTAATAATGGGCTAATTAGCAAGTTTCATGATGAATGCGGCTAAAGTAAACAAAGTAAACAGTCTCTCTGAGAGCAGCTCGGAAGAGAGGGGCGGGGTCACCAGAGCTCATTAACATTTAAAGGAAAATGCTACAAAAAATGGCTTGATCTGAAAATAGCTGTTTTTGACATGGTAAAAAAGGTGTTTTTTACACAGCCATTGAGAAATTTTAACCAAACTATGTTACAGACTTTTCATTAAGACCCTAAAGAATCATATCAACTTGTGGAAAATGGGCATCCTATGACCCCATTAATAGCAGCAGCATGCATAGCAAATTCATATGCAATGTTAGCAGGAAGTCAAATTAACTCATTAAAGTGAAATAGGCATTTTATTTCTTTGCTTATTTAACAGGACTTAGATATTGTGAACTCTTCAAAGCGAAATAGGCATTATTTGATTGCGTTTGCTTGTTAATAAAGACGCTTATAGCAATTATAAATACTTTTGTGCAGCTATAGCAGCAGTATGCATAGCTATTCAGATCACTAGTTTAGTGAATTTTAAAAGCAGCAGCACGCATAGCAAAATTCAGATGCAATGTTAGAAATATTAGCAGCAGTTTGCATGGCAATCCAATTATTATTGTTGCTAATATAGCAATGGCAGCAGAAAGTACTTAGTTGCATGAAATTTCAGTAATAAGATAACGCTTGGATGGTAGGGAACTTTTTAGGTGAAATAGGCATTTTATTACTTTGCTATTCAATTCAACAGGGTTTATAGAGCTCTTCAAAGCAAAAATAAGCATTAATTGGTTGTGTTTGTTTATTTGTTTAAGGGGCAGTCTCAATTCTAAGTACTTTTGTGCAGCAGTATGCATAGCTATTCAGATCGCAATGTTAGCCAATTTTATAGCATGCATAGCATATACAGATGCAAGGTTAGTAATTATATTAGCAGCAGCATGCATAGCAAGTCATATTATTATTGTTGCTAATATAGCAGCAGCAGAAAGCGCTTTAGCTGATTTTTTGCATGAAATTTTAGTGATAACTCATGGAGGGTAAATTAACTCTTTAAATTGAAATAGGCATTTATTATTTTGCGTATTCAACAGGGCTTACAGTAGGTTTCGTGCAACAGCAGTAGATTATGCAAATTCTGATTAAATTTTACAACCGCAACAGCTCGCACAGTAAATTCCTACTACAACATTGTGAATATTAACAGCAACAGCATGTACTTCAACTCAGTATAGGGCTGGACGATATGGCCAAAATTTATATTACACGAGAGTATGAAACGTGTGCATGTTGCTGGAAATGGGTTTATTATTGAAAATGCAAACTGCTTGTCTGCCAGCAGGAGGCGCTGTGAGAGCTGTGGAACTAGCGGTTTCTCCAGTAATGGCTGTAAACAAAGCAGCTCCGCTCATGAACGCTACTTTATCAGATAAAAATGCCATCTAAACTTTTCTGAAGACAGTCGGTTGCGTTCAGAGATACATTCATATAAAACACCCGCTATGCGTTTTGATTTTGAAATGTCCAGAGCTCATGTTTATTCAACGAAGTCAAACGCCACAAATAAATCAATGTATGGGAAACACTGGTAATGTATATCGAAATATCGGAAATGTGTTTAAAAATCATATCACCGTTATTGAAAAAAATTATATCGCGATACATATTGATATTGAATTATTGTCCAGCCCTAACCCAGTATTGTGAATATGTCACTGAATATTATCAATAGCAGCAGTAGCAGTTGCGTTGTTTTGTTGTTGCCTGTTTTTGTTGCGTTTTGTGTGCAACAAGTTTTGTTGCGTTGGCCGTATAGCACTGCATACATTGCGGACAGCTTTACCTATCGTAACTTTGTCATGTTGTGCCGCTCGCATCTGGCATAGACACCGTGAGTAAAATAGGCATTCGCCTAGCTCAGGGGTAGGCAAGTTCGGTCCTAGAGAGCCGCAGTCCAGCAGAGTTCAGCTCCAACCCTAATCAAACACACCTGAACAAGCTAATCAATGTCTTCAGGATTACTAAGGCTATAGGCAGGTGAGTTTTGTTTTCAGGGTTGGAGCTGAACTCTGCAGGACTGCGGCTCTCTAGGACCGAACTTGCCTACCCCTGGCCTAGCTACTTGTATGCCTAATTAATGGAGCTCACAGCAGTTCAGTCTTTTTGTGCAGTAGCAGCAGCTTGCATAGGCATTCAGTCATCAAGATTTTTCTCAGCAGCAGCATGCACAGCATTTCTATGTTGCAAATTTTAATTTGGACACAATTAATATAAAAGCAGACAATTGCATTTAAATAAGTCAGTGTGGTAACATTGATGAAAAAAAAAATATTACAACTCTTGAATGACAAATTTTAAACCATTTGCTTAGGCCGCCTGAGCCTAAGCCAGGTGGTTGCTGGGGATTACTTCATCTATCAGCCTGCAGTGTGATTCCTGTTTGTTAAAGGTCCCATATTGTCAAAACTGAAATTTCCTGGCTTTTTTCATGATAACTGAGGTCTAGGTGCTATGTAACTAGCATATAAGTTTTAAAACAGTCAATCCACAGTCAAATGTACACAGCCTGCATAAAGTAGCTGTGATTTTTCACGAACCGTTGTGACTTCCGTAAAAAGGTGACGTCAGAACTACTCAGTCACTGCCTTCAGTCACCACCCCGAGCACCGCCCACTGTCCCACTCTCCTTTTGCCAAACCCCCAGACAACATCGCGTCCATGCCATTGCTGAGCAACAACAACATGGAAACATGTTGAGAAAACGCTGTTCAGTCGGACTGTGACGGTCGCCGTGACAACCGCATCAAACGCTTCACTCTATAACAAGCATAATAAAAAGTTTTGTATACAGTGTAATAATAGTAACAGTTGCAAATTGTTTTATTTAGACTATAAGTCTATGCTTATTCACAAATTACCTCAAACGCCATACACAGCGTTTGATCCTTTAGATTGGCAGGTTTGAGCGCAGGAAAATACAGTACCAAAAACTACATCGCTAATCTGGAATCATTTCCATTCATGTCATCCATCCGCATTTGTAGAAGTGTCTTCAAGTTCACGTGATCGCAAACGCTCGGCTGGTCAGGTTTGTATTTACTGCATTAAATACCATTCTGAAACATCCTGTTGTAAGCTTGTTTGAGGAGATGGTTGGTTGTCTCCTGTCATCGCCAATTCTGGGTCTGAGTTCGGCTCAAACATGTAAGGCCAGACAACAGTTCCCTCAGCAGTGACCATCATTACCAGTGTTTCTATTGACCTTACTTGTGAGTATCACCAATCCACTGCAGGCTACAGCATACATGACCCTAGTTACCTGTGGTTGGCCTGGCCGTGCGTCACTCAGAAAACAACAGGCCAATCAGAAGAGAGGCTCATGAATATTAATTAGACGGGCCAAAATCGACCTGTCCTTTGCAGAGCTCCTGAGAGAGGAGCTGTAAAAATATATTGAGATGGTTTTTGGTACTTATAACGCAAATATACTGTATATTCTTAAGGAAATCAAGACTTAAAATAAAACTCCAGAAAGATGTAAAATATGAGACCTTTAATTACACACACAGTGCACGTTTCTACCTAGGTAAATTTGAGCTATTGGACACACATGGTTATTTAGGTCATTAGTTAAATAAACCTAAGAGTACAGCACCTAGGTTCACATTGCTAAGCCACTAGTTAATTTATCTGGGCTTCATTAGCCCAGAAACACATTTAACTCAGGTCACTAGTTTAAGCTATCTGGTCAACCAATCAGGTACACACAGCATAGTTCACTAGCATTAAGCCATTCGGCAAAGCTGGCCCAGGCTCACATAGATAGCAAACACACGGTCTCACAGCTCTCTGGAGTGGCAGCAGTACATATGTCTTGTCAGCAGTACATATGCATTGGCAGTAGCAAGTTCCTGTACTTGCTTGCAGCAGCGGCAGCAATAATCTACAACTACAGCAAAAACCAACAGCAGCAGCAATTCAGCAGCAGCGTAGCAGATCTATTCTGCCAAGACCAAATACATTAACATTGTCATATCCATCACCATGCTAAACTCTTTCGAGAGTTGCCATGATTGAATTACTTTTAAAATATAATAATTTCCACTTTTTCTCGTAATTATGATTTTTAATCTCATAATTATGACCTTTTATGTCATAAATTTAACGTTATGCCATATTTTTGACATTTTATCTCATAATTACAACTTTTTTGTTAACCATTCTCATAATTATGACTTGTATCATAAATTAGACTTTATTTCATAATTATAACTTTTTTATCTCAATTTTGACTTTTTCTCTCATAATTATGACTGTCATAAGTTTGACTGTTTTATGATAAATCATAGTTATAAAATTGTCATAAATTAGACATAAGCTTGACTTATTTATAATTATGACTTTTTTATTATCACAATTTCTACTTTTCTCATAGTTATGATTTTTATATCTCATAATTGATTTTGTCATGTCACCTATTAGACTTTTTATCATGACTTTTTATCTCATAATTTTGACTTTTTTCTCAATTATGAATTTTTATGTTGTAAATATGACTGTCATATCTATGACATTTTATCTAATAGTAGTTTTTTTTATACTGTAATTTGACTACTATCTCATAATTGCAACTTTTTTAATCTTAAAATTATGATTTACCAAAGCATGATTTTTTTTGGTGAATTTTTGTGGTGATCAGAGATTTTTTGATGCCCTAAGGATTGAAAGACTTTTTTCTCTCTCACTTTCTTTCTCTCTAAAGGATCTAGGGAATAAAGACCTTGCCAGAGAGAAGATATATCTGATCTGTCAGATTGTGCGTGTGGGCCGTATGGATCTGAAAGATACTAATCATAAGAAATGGACGACGGGCCTGCGGAGGCCGTTTGGTGTCGCTGGTAAATGTCAGGGAGAATGTTCTCATTTGATCTCCATGTAGCATACAGACACACAGCTGATATATCTGTGTCTATTGGCAGTGATGGACATCAGCGACATCATCAAAGGAAAGACAGAATGTGACGAAGAGAAGCAATATTTCATTCCATTTCATCCGTAAGTCTTTCCTCTCCTTGTGTTTTGTTCATCCATGTATCTTAAAGAAATAGTTCAAATATATACAGTGGGGCAAAAAAGTATTTAGTCAGCCACCAATTGTGCAAGTTCTCCCACTTAAAAAGATGAGAGAGGCCTGTAATTTTCATCATAGGTATACCTCAACTATGAGAGACAAAATGAGAAAAAAAAATCCAGAAAATCACATTGTAGGATTTTTAAAGAATTAATTGGTAAATTCCTCGGTAAAATAAGTATTTGGTCACCTACAAACAAGCAAGATTTCTGGCTCTCACAGACCTGTAACTTCTTCTTTAAGAGGCTCCTCTGTCCTCCACTCGTTACCTGTATTAATGGCATCTGTTTGAACTCGTTATCAGTATAAAAGACACCTGTCCACAACCTCAAACAGTCACACTCCAAACTCCACCATGGCCAAGACAAAAAAGAGCTGAAAAGACACCAGAAACAAAATTGTAGACCTGCACCAGGCTGGGAAGACTGAATCTGCAATAGGTAAGCAGCTTGGTGTGAAGAAATCAACTGTGGGAGCAATTATTAGAAAATGAAAGACATACAAGACCACTGATAATCTCCCTCGATCTGGGACTCCACGCAAGATCTCACCCCGTGGGGTCAAAATGATCACAAGAACTGTGAGCAAAAATCCCAGAACCACACGGAGGGACCTAGTGAATGACCTGCAGAGAGCTGGGACCAAAGTAACAAAGGCTACCATCAGTAACACACTGCGCCGCCAGGGACTCAAATCCAGACGTGTCCCCCTGCTTAAGCCAGTACATGTCCAGGCCCATCTGAAGTTTGCTAGAGAGCATTTGGATGATCCAGAAGAGAATTGGGAGAATGTCATATGGTCAGATGAAACCAAAATAGAACTTTTTGGTAAAAACTCAACTTGAGGAGACAGCCCCACAACATTACTGCTCTAGAGGAGATCTGCATGGAGGAATGGGCCAAAATACCAGCAACAGTGTGTGAAAACCTTGTGAAGACTTACAGAAAACGTTTGACCTCTGTCATTGCCAACAAAGGGTATATAACAAAGTATTGAGATGAAATTTTGTTATTGACCAAATACTTATTTTCCACCATAATTTGCAAATAAATTCTTTAAAAATCCTACAATGTGATTTTCTGGATTTTTTTTCCTCATTTTGTCTCTTATAGTTGAGGTATACCTATGATGAAAATTACAGGCCTCTCTCATCTTTTTAAGTGGGAGAACTTGCACAATTGGTGGCTGACTAAATACTTTTTTCCCCCACTATATATATATATAGAGAGAGAGAGAGATTATTCGCATCCATAATAAAAGTTTTTGTTTACATAATATGTGTGTATACTGTGTATTTATTATGTATATATAAATACAAACACATGCATGTATATATTTAAGAAAAATATGATATGTTTATATATTAAATAGATTTGTATATAATATAAAATATAAGAATATGAATATATAAATGTATAAACATAAATATGTTCAAAATGTATACTGTATGTGTGTGTATTTATATATACATAATAAATATACACAGTACACATACATATATAATGTAAACAAAAACATTTTGGATGCGATTAATTGCGTTTAATCGTTTGACAGCACTAATATATATATATATATATATATATATATATATATATATATATACACACATATATATATATACACACAAACTCTACCGCTCAAAAGTTTGGGATTAGTAAGACTTGTAATGTTTTTTAAAGAAGTCTCTTATGCTCATCAAGGCTGCATTTATTTGATCAAAAATACAGAAAAAAACTGTAATCTTGCAAAATGTTATTACAATATAAAATAATTTTCTATATGTTTCTATTTTAATATACTTTAAAAATATAATTTATTTCTGTGATGCAAAGCTGAATTTCCATGAGCCATTACGCAAGTATAAAGGGTCACATGATCCTTAAGAAATCTATTTATTATTAACATTATCAATGTTGGCAACAGTTGTGCTGCCAAATATTTTCTATTTTAAAATATTTATATTTTAAATAAATGCTCTTCTTTTTAACTTTTTATTCATCAAAGAATCCTGAAAAAAAGTATCACAGGTTCCAAAAAAAATATTAAGCAGCACAACAGTTTCCAGCACTGATAATAAATCAGCATATTACAATGATTTCTGAAGGATCTGAAGGACACTTTATACTGGAGTAATGACTGATGGAAATTTAGCTTTGCATCACAGAAATAAATTATATTTTAAAGTATATTAAAATAGAAACCATTATTTTATATTGTAATAACATTTTGCAAGATTACTGTTTTTTTCTGTATTTTTGATCAAATAAATGTAACCTTGATGAACATAAGAGATTACTTTAAAAAACATTACACGTCTTACTGATCCCAACCATTTGAGCGGTAGTGTATATTTCTATCTTTTGCTGTAGTGTGTCAGTAGGAAATATCAGTTTACATTTCCAAACATTCATTTTGCCATTAATTGCAATAATCCAGTGAGATTTTTGTCTGACAACAGCCAGTGCTCCACACAGAGATCTGATCTCATCATCATCAGTCTGTCTGGAATGACACGAAGAAACAGAATAAACTGAGACAGGCTAAATCCAGAAGAACTGTGGCAACGTCTCCAAGATGCTTTAAGAGACCTACCTGCAAAGCTACATTACTGTTAAAAGTTTTAGGCACATGTGTAAAAATGCTGTAAAATGAGGATGCTGTCAAAAATAATGTTATAAATAGATTGTCTTTATTAATTAACTTCAATTAACTACATTAAAAATCAACATTTGGTGTGAGCATATTTTGCGTTTAAAGCAGCTTTTGCCCTCGGTGCACTTGCGCATAGTTTTTCAGGTAGATTTGCAGGTAGATTTCTTGAAGCATCTTGGAGACGTTGCCACAGTTCTTCTGGATTTAGTCTGTCTCAGTTTATTCTGTTTATGCATGTCATTCCAGACAGACTGGATGAGGATGAGATCAGATCTCTGTGTGGAGCAGAAAAACCTGCAGCTCCTGCACATTCTTTGGTTTTCCAGCGTCTTCTGCATATTTGAACCCTTTCCAAAAGTGACTGTATGATTTTGAGATCCATATTTTCAACTGAGGGACTCATACATAACTATTACAAAAGGTGAAAATATTTACTGATGCTCAAGAAGGCAAGACAATGCATTAAGAGCCGGGGGGTGTAAACTTTTGAACAGGATCATGATTTGTAAATTCTTCTCATTTTGTTTAACGATCATATTTTTTCATTTAGTACTGGACTTCAGAAACTACATACATACTTACATGTTTCCCAGAAGACAAAATAAGTACAATTTACCCTGATCATTGTAGCGAATCAGCTCAAAGGGGAAATATGATTATTTAATCATAACTAGTTATAATTAATGATAAATATTTAGATCCGCTGTAAGTATTTACTTGACCTCTCAGGGTCAACTCTGTCAATTCTAAGAACGTTAACTTCCTGGTTAAGGGAAATAACTTTCTTACTGTACAATACTACACAGAGCATGTAGCAAAAATCTGCATGATTAGTGACTGCGATTATGAACAAACAATGAACAACCTCAGGTGTGATACAAGTAAGACTTTATTAACTACATAAACACTTAAACTAGTCTAACATACACACACACACACACACACACACACACACACACACACATACAGTTGGTATAGGAACAGGATTAAAGCTTAGGCAGTAAAGAGAAGAGAAATAAAACATGAAGCTATGGTATCATTGGATATTCAGCAGATCTACAGCCTGAAGGAAACATCAGTTTCTTAGTTCAAACACACCTTTGTAAAAAGGTGCAAATGATACTTAATGTATCAATTAATAAGACTAAGTTTGATACTTGCACATCTTGTCTGTCTGACAGAGAGTCCTGATGCAATCTGAAGGCTCAAGTTGATCTTTGCTGAAGTTGGTTGATGAAAAAGAACCAGTTTGAGTCAGATGATCTTGGTGAATGGAAAGTCAAGGCCCGAGGCCTAGCGCAGACTTAGGATGTCCTTAGAGCGTTTTAGCTCGCATCCTCATCTTCTCAGAATATAACAGAACCGCCGACTGAAGGCGGGTCACTGATGTGAGGCCTTTAAGGTCTGAGAAGATTCACGATGGGCTTGTCCAATGAGAAAGGCTGAAATCCCAAGCGGGAGGTTGCAATTACGGGAGGGTTTTACGACCCTTTGTGTGAGGGCATGGTAATTTGCAAATGTAATTCGCTTGGGTGTTGATGCACAAACTAGTAAAGATTCTTAGAACACTAATATGTTGCATAGGTATCAGCATGTAATATGTACTCTCAATTAGATCATCCGAAGATGAATTCATAGGGACCAAACATGATATAGGTGAGGTTATATTAACTAGTGGTCTATCATAACATGCATAAAACAGCATACACTACAACAGACCAAGGTTATTTTCGTAAACGAAAACCAAGACTAAAACGACTGATGAAAAAACAATTTCATAAACTGAAATAAAATAAAAACATCAAAATAATTTAAAAACTACAATGAAACTAAACTAAACTAACAACAGTTATTGAAAAACTAACTGAAATAAAATAATAATTATAAAAAATAAATAATCGTTTTCGTAATTATTACGTTCTCACCCCTTGGCGGAAAAATATACGAGCTGTGTGGAGGTTTAGGGAAATAGCCTACATGTAATGGCGCATCACGCACATGGGGTTATCTGATGGAGAGACGCAAAGCAGTTTAAAGCCTGCACGGGTCCTGTTTGGTAAACGTGCACCAGCAGTACTTAACAGAACACCCGACCCATTATTTAATTTAATTCTGTACCAGACCAGAACTGTTTGACATAAAGACCGCGAGTCGCGACCCGAACCGCACTCGCATTAAATCTATTACATCAGGTAAACAAGATTATTTATTTTATCATGTAACACAAGCAATCAAAAAAACATTAGGCATTCTAAGTTGGTGCTTTGAAGAA